GCCCTTGATCCGTCAAGGGTGGGTCGCGGTGAGGGTAGCCGCGATCAATGTTGTGGAGGGATTGTCCGTGACGGACGATGTGGATCAGAGGACTCGCAGTAGTTTCTGCTAGGCTGTTAGCGTTTACAAGTATCAACGTGATATGATGGTGAATTCCTTACCCATTGTTGAAGATTTAATTTGTAAGAGCACGCAATGTATCCTGAGTTTTTGCGAGGGGGAAATGTTTCAGCAAATAGTCAGTTTTGATAGAAAGTAGTAAGACGGAAATAATGCGAGGGCAGGATCGCGATTCATACCCGCACAGCTGTGCGTGCAGAGTCACGTGCAGATTGCGCAGCTGCCTTAATCCCTGACCTGACTTATTCGCACACCCCAGCTGCGTGGTCTGCACGTGACTCTATACAGCCGGAGGCTATGAGTCCGCTCAAGATCGCGCTCCACAAGGCCTCTTTATTATTAGAAGGAAAAATCGATTATGAGTTTCAGAGGCACGCTTCCTGGCCAAGGTATTGAGCTACAGATGCCCTTTGTTCCCTGACTAAAGCAATCACACATAACAACATGGCGGGTATGGCAGGCCTCCAAACAAGCACATCGTAAGCCACAAATTCGGGTCGGCAAGGGAGAAACGCAAAAGAATGCGCATATGAACACTGCGTTGTTTCAGGATAAACAACAAACACATGGGCAGATTTTCACGGAGGAGCTTTGTGTTGCTGGTCAAGAAAGGGAGCATATTTGTGGATGGCTTCAGGTAGAACACGGCTGGAAAGGGGATAACAACTAATAGGGTCCGTCAAGTTCGGCGGCTACAAAGGGTGCACGATTTACGCAGCCAACGATATATCATTATCAGTCTGAATCTACCTCGAGTTCAATTTATCTATTACATTGGAAAAAAGTCCCTTCCAATATGCCTCTTGCTCCCACCCTTTCCCACTATGTTGAGATCTCCTCAATCACAGCCACGATGAGAACATGTCACTCCTCGGGCAAGACGTCGGTTCTTGGCTATTGCACATACACAAGTCTTTTCTTCCACTGATACACTACCAAGACTAATAACTGCTCGTTGTTTTCGAGAGCAGTTCCTTCAAATGATTGAAATGCTGTCTCCGAACTTCTGGCCAGTTGTACTCTTCCATATACCGGGCGATGTATTGAGACGGCGAACCCTGGAAGGAAACAATAGCATCTATGACATGACGCTCCATAATTGTGCTTCCCTTCTCTGAAAGAGTCTTGAACTGCTGGAGTGAATTTTGCTCATGTCGGGTGGCATTTTCTGCTCGATACGGTAACATTTTCGATGCAAAGTTACAGGGCAGCAAGTTGAAAGAATCCACCGGAACGGTCTGTGTCCATTCCCAGTCTATCACCCCTACTATCGTACATTGCTCGTCAAAAAGTAGGTTCTGCCAATGCATGTCGGCATGCTGTAGGATAAACGGCCCAGAGTCGAAACATTCCTTGCCTGCGTGTTCTGCGGCAAGGACATGTAACGCTGCAGACTCTATGCTGTCTTCGGCATTGGATTGTTGTCCTGAAAAGTTCCGGCGCTTTTCAAACTCATAGACTAATCTTGCGCGCTCTTTGTAGAACGTCCTCGATGATGTGAAGGGACCGTAGAGACGTTCTTTGCGGTCAACGACGGGTCCAATGGCTACACCTCTTTTCTCGCCAGTAGCAAAGCGAAGCTGTCCGATTTGATCGAATGGTTGCCTTAAAAGCTGCCATGCGAAACTCGTCAGCTGACTGTGTATTTTGATCAAGTCATCTTCCTTGACTGGTCGTTGTCCGCTGAAAGGAAATGGATAAGGCTTTCCGGCGATATACTCCTCAAAGATATAGGGTGTGCCAAGTGCATTTGCGTATGTGAAATCGTATCCATAGACTTTAGGGACAGGGATTTGCGTGTTCTCCTTTACGAACTGCATAGTCGCCACCTCGCTTTCAAACAAAAGTCTCTGGTTCGTGATGCGCGTTGTGTAATCCGTTACTGCTGTCTTATCGTACAGCTTGTTATGCAGTCGAGCCACCCAGAGGGAATTGTCCGGCATCCGAAGTCGATATAGAACCTTACGCTTGCCGAACAAGAGCTCGTCCGTGTCGAGAACAACCTCTTGGTTATGATTGAGTTGGTGACCCAGTTGCATCTGCACTTTGATCCAAGTCTCGGTTGCAAGTTGGCATATGACCTCCTCAAGTCCTGACTCCCGAATCTGAGCTGCAAAGACTTTGCCAATAAATCCAGGATCATCTTGAAAAGGCCGCGGTGTGATCCAATCGGTGTACTCCATCCCTTGTTCCTGGCTCATCAGGTGGACGAAGTTTATGGGATATTGAGGAGGTGTGACTGCAAATAAGACGAAATTTACAAAATCTTCCTCGTGCCACCTTTCCCAGCTCCTTCTCTTTCCAGCAAAGGCTGCATTTCAGCTTACTCTGACAAATTATCTACAGCTCATCCTAATAGGTCGATGTGTGGCTCAGCTTAACAGGTTACCTCCGGATTAACAAAACGGGTAACCTGCAGCGCAGCCCAGGCTGACAGGTCACAAATGGTGCCATAGATTGTAGTATTTTAGATACATAAAGGGCTCTCTCTGATATCCAGATGAGCCTCAATATAAACTAACTAACGAAGTTCGTTCAGCCCATACCTCGGCTTTTCTACACCTTGCCTGTACTTAGCACCACAGACTTGCTGCAACATTGTTTGCCGTCAGACTCGTCTCCCTACGTAGACTTTTTGCTATCACTTCCACTCCCGACATGTCAGCTGATCACAGAAAACTAAGATCAGTCGCCGTCTTCTTAGCCGCAAACATTGGAAACGACCCCGGATACAAAGAGCTTGCACAACATGTTGCTGCAATGTTCGCCAACAATAGATGGAAATTGGTGTATGGCGGATCCGCCAGAGGGCTAATGGGAATACTCGGCCAGACCGCGTCAACCTTGGGTGTCGATGTTCACGGGGTTAAGCCTCGCCCATTCCTCAAGTATGAAGAAACCGGCCAACTCCCAGAGTTCGGTCATCATGAGCTGGTGGATGATCTGCACTCTCAAAAGAGACGGATAGCGGAGCTAAGCGATGCATTCATAATACTACCTGGGGGGTTTGGAACACTTGAAGAATATACTGCAATCCGGATGTGGTCGAAACTCGGCATCTGCCGCCGCCCTATCGTGCTTTTGAACTTCCAAAACTTTTACACCCCTTTGCTAGACTGGATCACTGGAGCAACAAAGTCGGGGTTCATATCAGAGAACAGTGCCGCCGTTGTATCGGTCGTCAACTCGATCGAAGAAATGAGCTTGTCGCTCTTGAAGCCGAACCCCCTGATTGATAACGATGACAAGTTCGACTGGTCAGTTGTGGCTCCAGAACATACCCGCAGTCTCTTAGAATCTCAACTTGAGAAATCACTTCTGGAAACCGCAGATCAGGTTTCTCTTCAACTCTGTCTGACAGTTCATTGGAGTACATGGCATACATGGAACTACTACAACCGAATAGAACCTGGTATCACGGAAGCAAATGACCATATCTGGAAATCCATCTCTCCCTTTTCGACATGCGTTGGCATGACTTTTCTGGTGGCTAGAAACTTTCGCGCTGCTCTTGAAATCACCCCTGGCCTCGCCCAATGCTCTGAGAGACTTAGGACGGTTGCCTGCCCTGCATCAGCAGATTCGATCCGGCCTTATCATTGCCTCACAGGCGTCTTTATGGATCATTATTGTGTCGTCATAGACCCCGTGTTCTCGGTGAATGCTTTCAAAGTGCCGTACAATGGGTCGTTCGAAACCTCACCATATATAACCACGTCTGGACGTTCCCAACAACGATGCTTTCGCTACATCACAGGAAAAAGTGGTGAGAAGATATTGACCATGGAGAAAATTGGTAGCATGGAAGCGGCGGTGCAATTTTCAGATATCGATCACAACACTGCTCTGCGACAGATCTCCATGCGAGCGGCTAGAGAAAGTAAACTCAACTCTCAGGTACCAAGCAAAAAAGTCCTCGTCGTACGAACTTCGATGAGCGAAAGACCGACCAAGATTGCATCGACCCCTTTGAATGCCGAGTTCGTTGTGGCGGCTTGTCGTGTACAAGTCGATTTCGCCCAACGAACTCTGACGATGCAAGTACCTTCAACGGACTGGCTTTTCAAACCCGAAAACGAGCGATACCTTGGGCAGTTACAGCGGTCACAGATGTATACACCAGTCAATGATGCGGTGCTGAATCTGGTGGTTGCTCTCCGGTCTCCACCGGATGATGAACTCGTTTCCGATCAACTTGATTTGATGGGCGAGGTGGCAGAGCGATTGGGACTCGCAAGAGGAGAAATCTTACAGATTGCTCGCTCTCTGGACTTTTTCCAGCGTACGTGAGTTTCTACAGAGTTTCATCATATTTTATTTTCTGTATCTATATCTGCTTTTACTTGTTATTACTTGATCAAGAGGGGTGCGATGTGGGCATAGCTATGCCAGTTCGGAATGGCAGCAAACTAATCGGGAACATCACGCTCTGCTTCATTGATTAACCTCCGTAGTCTTTCTGTAACTATCCTATCGTAGGCACATTTATTTGAATCATGTTTGACGATCCCTGAATGATCAGTATCCAGGGCAAACCACAGTTACAAGACCCGTCAGCTTCATCTTGGAAGTCGACAATTATATACGTTGCCTCGAGAGTTGAACTATGTCTGGGCTCGAAAAAGCTTGGCTGAGACAAGATTCAAGACTCCAACCCTAAAGTACAATAACACTTGGACGCATTAAGAATAAATTTACTTAGCTGTTTCGATTAGTTTGTTACCAACCCCTGATTCCAAGTCTCGGGCCTACCGCCTTGAGTACTGGCTGGAAGCGCTGAAATATCATCCAAAGGATTTAAGTCGTATAGTATATTCAAAATGTGGTACTTAAACTAACATATCATATCGAGCCATTGTCCTGGCCACTATCCCCCTCGATCACTTATTGTGCTTAACCATAGCATCAACAACCACCCTCTCCTCCTCCCCCTCAACCTGTACAACAACACTCCCAAGAACATGATACCCCAACTTCAAATACAACCCCTTTCCCATAGGCGTAGCCAACAGACTCAAACTCTTCCCATCTTTATTCGCCTCCTTCTGTCCCCATTCACATATCATACTAGCTGCTCCCCTCCTCCGAAAGTCAGGGTGCGTAACAACCTCCCACAAAGGAATTTGCTCCGAACCGAATTGCTTAAAGTATTTCCTTAGACCGACTGGAAGGGCTTTGGCGTAGGCTGCCATATGATTTTTGTTTGCGTCGCGACGTTCGTCAATACCATGATCTGAAATTGTTAGAGAGATTGGGGCAGTGAGTGAGACGAACCTCCTGGTATGGAATCGCTTGTGACTTTCAGTTCCCATACTCCGTAAGATACAGGCTGATGGATGACTTCTCCATCGTCCAGCACAGGCGCTGTTACCAATAGAATGACGAGTTTATCAGGTCGCTCGAATAATTCCTCATGCTCTATTCTTGTCCACTTCCAGAAGTCGTCTGGGTACTTATCACGGTATGGGAATCTGTAGTCTGTACCTGGGTCATCTGGTGATCCGTTTACGGCTATCCAGGTGATGTCGTCCAAGTCATCTATCGTCGCGCGGCGAAGAGTGAGAGGGGTGTTGGGGATGGGCTTTGAAGATGGGCTGATTGAACCTCCACCCATGATGTTGAACGACTGACGCGGCGGAGATTGACAAGAAAGTGTTGGGTTCGTAAGTTAAGAGGTCAATAGTTCTGGATGGAAAGGCTGAGTATATAATTCTCAATTGGCTATAGGGAGTCCTTAAGGGAAGATGGAGTCTGGCCAACAGTTCCACTACAGCCAATTCTCATTGGGATCTGAACAAAGAGCTAGTAGTTGTGACGTTATTATCAGGTCAATAAACCATGTTTCCATTGGATAGAAAGACGTATTTTTGAATGTGCCTCTCTTCTGCATACCTTACCCAACGGTGAGATGATGACGTTACACGATAAGAGCATATCCCTCGTGTAACAAGAAGAAAAGGCTGCTCTGACTTGCTCATCTAATCGCACATAAGTCTACCCCAAACTTAGGAAAAGATTATATAAAGGAATAAGAGATAGCCTAAATCTTATAAAACTTTACTCATTTTATGTCATTCTTTCGTAAACTCGTCATAAGTCCCTATTGATTGAACAGGCTTAGATACGCATACACATGCTTCAGAGTGAATGCGGCGAGTTTCTTGTGTTGCTTTGGCTTGAAGCCCTCTGGTAGATCATCCATATCCTCCTGTTGTATAGTCATAGCCTCAGCAGCGAATCCCTCTGCCGCAATATCCATCACGATCCGTTACATCCTTTCCGAACCAAACGAAGCAACCACCGATATCTAGTCAATATATAACTAGAGGATTGTAGTTGCGACGTCTTCGTTAAATATGTCCCGCTTCCTTTGGGTAGCAAGACGCGATTGTGCTACCCTCCGCCAGGAGACTGAGCCTTGACGTTACCTGACAAGAACATGCTCCCATTATTCTACCAAAAACATATAATTGCCTGTGTTACCGTTAATTAAACTCACGTACGTATTGGTTAATTTAATCAGAGTTAGGAGTATGTATACGATTTGGCTAAGTCTCTCTAATAGGTGACTATCTCCCTGAGAGTGACTCCAAGCTAAGTATTCATTCCTCCGCACCAACATATGGATGATCTTGTGCATCGTGCTAGCATACTTTGTCTGTTAATTCGACTGACTCTGAGCTATCCCTTCCACTTCAATGTATGAAGAACCTTGTGCATCGTGCATCATCCACCAAGCGCGTACCATCCTCCATCTCTCCCGCGTCTGCACTCAACTGGAGTGACTCTAATCCTTTCGCTTCAATGTTCGAAGGACCTTGGTCATTGTTTCCCGAGCATGCTTGAGGGTGAACGTGGCGAGCTTTTTGTGGTGTTTGGGCTTGAAGCCCTCTGGTAGATCCTCCATGTCCTCCTGTTCCATAGCCTCAGCCGAGAACCCTTCTGCTGAGATTTTCATGTACTCATCTCGGTCCTTTGGTTCCATTCCAAGCCAGACAAAGCAACCACCATACTTGAGAAGAATGGTGTTCAAGATAAGACGGCTTGTACGACTGTTACCATCAAGGAAGGGGTGAATGTTGACAAACTTGTGACAGTATTTGGCTGCTAGAGCCACAGGGTCAATCTCTCCGCTGTCCTCTGCTGTAGCGATATCGGCCTTGAGAGAGTCAGTCAAGTCTCGTACCGCCTTTGGGACCTTGGCTTGATGAGGGAACGAGTGGAAGCCACGCTGGACCGGGTAATCTCGGTAGATGCCCCCGTACTGGCTTGAGGGAATGTTATCCGGACTGTCGATTTGATACGTCAAGAGGCGGTGGGTTTCTAGGATGATCTCTTCGGACAGATCCTTCCCCTTGATGGCAACTTCGTTCATCATGTAGTACGCCGCCTTTGCATGCTGAATGATCTCCCGGCGGCTTCGGAGCACGTCTTCATGTCCACTAGACTTGTTCTTGCTCACAAGGTCCATTCGGAGAGCTTGGTAGATTGGGTCGCGATCGCTAATCTCGGCATCGTCCACAGCGCGTCCTTCGAAAATGCGTTGACAAAGCTTGACTGTGGTATCCAGACCACTTCCGACCATCTCGAGCATGTTTGAGCCGTAGACCATCTGCGACAGTTTCTCGTTGAAGTCTTCAGCAATCTCGGAGTCATTCTTTGACTTCTGCTTCTTGAGAGCATCTGCGATGTCGTCGAGGTAGTTCTTCAACTCGATGTCGTCTTCGTCGGAGTGACTCTGGTCTTCAGCATCGTTCTCGTAATTGTCATAGTTCTCGTAATTGTCATCATCCTCGTCTTCTGCATCGTCCTCATAATGGGCATCATCTTGCGTAAGCTGCAATGTTGATTCCTTGCCCGGTCCTGAATGAATACGGATAGAACCATTGCCACGGAGACTCGAGGAGAGCATAAGATGGATAGAGTGTCCAAGGTTAGAGTCAGTCTGATGGGCTCGGGATGATGATGGAATCTCGAGGCCTTCAAAGGCTTCAGCAAGGGTTCGTCGCTCGAGTTTGGGTGCCATGGTCGCGTTGTGCACGGTGCTGGGTCGTGAAAGCGTGTTTATTCAAGTGAGCAATGTTGCAGTCTTGGCCTTATAGGATGACTCTCGATGAGATAGAAGGGGTAAAGAAAGGGTTGAGTGGGTTATCCACGGACCCGTTCGAGGTAATGTGAGGTCTGATGTTGTTTGAAGGAAGAAAAAGGAAGAGAGGAAAAGGAGGGGGGGCATCATTTTATACTTATATTTGAGAGTGGATGAATCACAGTCAAAGTTTTGCAAAATTAGCAAGTGCACATGCTCTGGAAGTTTATGCCATGGGAAAGGGTGATGAATGGAAGTTTAAGGTATGCCATGGGAAAGGGTGATGAATGATGACTCACTGTCAAAGTTTTGTGTCATACCGAAGGAAGGGAAGGAAATACTCTCAAAGTTTATATAGGAAGAAAGAGCAATGAATGGAGGATTCTTTAGTAAGAGCAGAGTTTATTTACTGTCAAGAGGTTATGTGAGCTGAACGAATACAGATAGAACCGTCGCCACGGAGACTCGATGATAGTATCAGATAGATAGAATGCCCAAGATTAGATCCCATGCTTGCCTTTGTGTTGTACGGGTCTGATTATAGGAGTTTTTTTGAGGGAAGAGGAATAGGGGAAAGGAGAAAGAACTTCCTTCCTTACCTCCACTGGGTGGATGACTCTCGAATCACTTCATGATATGAAAGTGTAACGCACTTAGGACTATGAGATGTAAAAGCTTATAATGCAGGTAAGCTCAATGTATGGACACTTTATAGCTAAAGTTTTATCGAACTTGATCTGACTTTTAACAATTGTATAAACTATTGTTAGCCAAAAGCAAGATATTAGGCAAACAGTGAGGGTAACGAGTATATTACCCGCATGTGTTTATTGGTGTTCTCGACCTTTATGCCCTGGGGGCTGAGGCCTCTTTAACCTCTCAACCTTATCACGGTCTAAACTGTTCAAATATCAGTAATAATGCAGTTAATAACATAAATTTAGAAGACTTTATAGGCCTGGTCCTAGATTCATCCTAACATCTTCAAAGTCCTGGGTAGATGAGCTATCTCTTTATTGCGTCGTCCTCGCGCTCATGCAGCAGTCTGTCTTCAACATGGCAAAGTTTTGGTGCATCTCAGACGAGACTTGAGTTCAGAACAACAATCCCATGTAAATATCTTGTAACTAGGTATCCCGTACGTTAATCATAACTTTTAACTATCCAAGCATTTAAGCCATATCCATAGCCTTGATCTTATCCTTGGCCTTCTCATTCTCCATAGCCTGGTCCATGACCTGGTTGGGGTCGTTGTCACCAACATCCAGCACCTCAAAGTGGCCAGTCTCAGTAGCATCACCAGTTCGGTAACCACTGTGAGCACCAAACACATACCACACGTAGCCAGTAATGCAAGCAGCAGCGATGAGGAATGCAAAAACGGTCCAGTTACCCATTGAGTACATGGGGCTTGTGCTGGAGGGGAAGAGGAAAGGCGCTGTGATACCGCCTGTGTTGGAGATGGCGATCATTCCACCTGTTGCGAGCGCAGTGGCAGTCGAGCCTCGGACAGTGGCAGTTCGGTGCTTTTGCAAGTTAGTATATGTAATCGATAATGAGAGGGAGTAAACTTACAGCAACGAAGGGAAGAACAGCAGCGTTCGTGCAAGCAATAATACAAACAGCGAAGTATCTCACTCCCCAATGCTTAACCACAGCAAGGAGCAAATAACCCGTCGCAACAAACGCCAAACCACCCATGACATGCTTCGAGCGCTCCTTGGTCTTATCACTATGCAGACAGTTGCCCACAATGATGAACACTGCAAAGACATTAGGAGGAACAGTGAGGAGCTGAGCCTTGTAGCCCTTGAAGCCGAGCGATGAGACGATGGAGGGAGCAAAGTAGCCAAAGGCGTTGAGGGAGTTGGCCATGAAGAAGTAGGCGACGGCGAAGAGCCAGAAGAAGGGGTCGGCGACGGTGTCCTTGGCGACTTTGCTGTCCCAGTGCTTGTCGTTCATGGAGGGGGCGTAGGGGCCGAGACGCTTGACGGCAAAGGCGCGTTCTTCGGGGGAGAGCCAAGAGACGGTTTGGGGATCTATACTTATTAATATCATGGGCTTCGTGATGATTTGGTTAAAGACTTACAATCAGGGAGGAAAAACCACACCAGGACTCCGACGATGACGGCGGGAATGCCCTCAAGCACAAAGAGCCTATCAATGTTAGAAGGGTCGTTTGAAGGGACTGTGACAGACTCACCATTGCCATCCAGCCAGACCAGCCTTTCCGTTAAGGAACGAAATACCCGTGGCAAGAATTCCACCAAAAGCACCCGCAACAGCAACACTCGAAGCAAAAATAGCCATTCGCGTAGCTCTCTCCTCAGGCTTGTACCAAAAGCAAAGATACATCATTATACTATCTCTCATTAGCACTCACTGACTCACACCCAATCGCACTGCTTAACATACCCAGGGAAGAAACCAGCCTCAGCAAGTCCAAGCATGATTCTCACAGCCAACAGTCCACCGTATGTCGTCACCGCAGCAGTGCAGATGGTGACAATACCCCAGGACACCATGATTCGCGAAATCCATTTACTCGGCGAAAAGTACTTGAGGAGGATGTTGCTGGGGAATTCCATGAGGACGTAGGGGACGAAGAATAGAGCGACGGCGATGTTGTATTTTTGGCCGGTGAGGTCGAGCTGTGAGACGATGTTGTGCTCTGGGGAGTCATTGTTGAGAGTCTTTGCGTTTCCGAGGTTGACGCGATCGAGGTAGTCTTGAGTCTGTTAGTGATGAATCTTATGAGAAGGCTATGGGAAACGCACTGAGGAGATAAGTTATGCAAACCCAAGGCATGATTCGAAGATCTTGTTTCCTCACGATCCTCTTCTCCATCTCTTTGTCGTTGAGATCGACCGTCTCTAGAGCAGGGACGTCTAGAGACGGCTTTGGCGAGAGAAACTTTTCCCAGCTGAAGAACATGATGGGCAATAGTCAACAGCTACCTAATTCTGAGGATACAGTCTGTCTAGGAGGAGAGGGAGGGAGAGAGAGCAAGGCTTGTATTTAAATATATACCACACATGCTACCTAGTTCTGCCTTATCTACCGGATGATCTCTTACCATGATAGTGAACAATAAATTAACTTTATTAACTGCCCCAGCGATAACGGTACTTGCTTGCGCCTGTATCTACCCCAGATTCTCGCTTATAGCGTTGCTATTGTACGATGCAATAGGAAGGGAGCGACACTGCAGGAAAAGAGACAACTCCACTGTAGATAGGGCACCGGCCGCCGGCGAAGAGGGCCCCGGCGGGTATCATGATGCCAGTTTGGGAAATACAGCCCCGGGGATGGGGTTTTTTACGTATTTCGTTTCGTTTCCTTTATTCATTCGGTGAAAGGCCGAATGGGCCAAGCTTTTGACATCGCGGGGAAGTTTTGTTCACGGGACTTGGAGCCTGCATTTCCTTTGGAATTGAGGTCACAAGACTGTTTTGTAAGTTGGCTACCAAGGTAAGTAAGTATACCATCATGTATTTAGGGTGTGTAGGCAGAGGCTTGGGGGAGAAGGGCGGTGTTTCCGCTTCCTGGGAGGAAATGGGATTTGGCGGAAATGCTGTTTTTTCTTTCTGATATCGATTCGGAGATGCCGAGCGGCCGATTTCGGGACGGGTGCCGGGCGATGGTGCGGGTTTTTATTCTATAGCCGTTCGATTATTCCACAATTTATAGTATGGTTTCGGTACTGTATAGCGAGAGAGATAAGAATCCGAGATAAGGCTTGACATTGGTTTCTGAATAATAGGCAATATTTTCTCCGCACGCTTTAGACCGATGGTGATGGTTCTAGCGAGAGGCTAGAAGGGCCACTCCGTATAATTTTCCGGCGTCACAATGCCGATACATTTAAGACGAATGCAATTTACTAATGTCCATTGGATGTCCCTTGGTTGACTCTGAGTCTGTAATTCAACACGAGGTCTGCTTGGACCGTGTTATCGTATAATCCTGCTATTCTACCTTGCTTGACTCCCATGCAATGACTCGCATGTCAATGACTCGTCACTCACTGCATCTCATATCTCCCAGAAACTCAATTGTCCAGCTAGACAGGGAACAAGGACAGATGTGAGATCCTTCACTGGTTGTGAGCTTAAATCATCGGCCTATCATGGATCACCTTTCATTCTGAATATGGACATCTGCATATGTGAAGACAACCAACAAGGGTGCTTGCTTATCAACGAACACCTCACAAAGTTGGGGGCGCATCTCATACAGCGTAATTCACGGCTGAGATAATCACACAATGGCAACTCTAAAGGAAAGCCAGACGTGGCTGACCAACTGGATGTCAAACCTCACTCACATCGAATAAAGCCCATCAAGAACCATGGTATTCTTCAGCATCGCCAAACCACTCAACATACACACTAAAACAACATCTACATCGCCTAATCCCGCTCCTTCGACCCAACAGTCGATCTCGAACTCGAATTCCTCAAAACCTTCCCCCCCTCAGGTCCAGAATCAGGCGTATGCGTCGCACTACTCTCCCTCGCCAACGGCGACGGGAAATCCGGCGTCACAGACCTCGAATCTGTCCCCGGCCTCTTCGGCTTCGAACTCGTCGACAGCCTCTTGCGCCGCGCAGACATAGATCCGCTGCTGGGTCGTCTACTAACAGGATTCTCTTCTTCAACGATAGGCGTAGGAGTTCGTGTTGAGCTTGTGGATGCGCGGCGCACGCTACTTCCGCGACGACGACGTTCGCGCTCAACGGCGATATGACGAGGTGGTGTCTTCTCACGCTCGTGGCGCCGCGGTTGTCGGCCGGGGAGCCACCATAGCCAGCCGTATTGTTGCTTGACGAGTTGGTTATCGCGCTCTTTCACTTTTTGCCGCAGCAGGGCTCGGCGCTCGTTCTCCTTCTCCCAGTATTCCGTCCTGTATAGCTCCCAGTTCTCGCGGAACGTAGCAGA